CTTCCAGAATCTTCTTTTGACCAGGAGCTCATGACCAAAGGGCGGGACATCCCCCAGATCGAGATCGGCCATGCGTCTTCGCTCCCGCTCGTGAACATAGTGGCGTGCTTGAGGCCATCGACCCGCCGGCGTACCAGCCATGCCAAGGGCCCGACGGATGTGGAACTTCACTGTTTGAATCGCTCTTTCCGCGCGCCCATTGGACTGAGAAGAGACTCCTGCCGTTGTGGTGCGATGGATGTCCCTTGAGCGGCACCACTGGGTAAGGGATCTTCCTCTGAATTCTCCCCCGAGATCAGTGTGAAGCCTTGCCACGTGGTAGCCCATCACCCTGAGCTGGATGTACATTTGCTGGATCGTGGACAGCACCGTCTTCTGATCCTTTGAGGCCATCGGAATGGCGAGTCTGAAGGTGATCAGGTCGGGGTTCTCTTTTTCTTCACTCACTTCAACTTCCTTCATCTCCTCACCTTGTTCGCCTTCTTCCGCCACACCTTCTTCTTCATCTTTCTTTTCATTTCCTTCCTCCTCATCTTCTTCTTCAAGCAGCACCTCATCAGAATCAGCCAGTTCATCATCTGGTACTGGCGGATGCTGTTCTTGAGGAAGAAGCCAGGTGTAGGTACCAACGAGGATGTACTTCATCCAGTCTTTACCATCTTTGGCGACAGGATATGGACCAGCAGTGTCCAGTGACAGCGTCGCTGCCAGTGGATGTGTGACCTTTCGATGAGGCCGGGGCTTAGCGCTTTGCTCCTGGCAGGTGCGACAGTCTCTTCGGAAGGGCACGTGACCGTTTTGACAGTGCTGCTCCCATGTCATCTTTTTCAGCTTTGGTTCCTCCTCCACATTTCCATTGATGTGAAGAGCGCAAGCTTCAGCAACCGATCGACATAGTCCTGGAACCCAGCGAGCAAGTGAGGATGACAGAACCTTCTGACCTTCTCCTCTGCTCTTTGATCCAGGGTTTTTTCCTTTTGGTAAGCGGAGCTCAACATTGGCGGCCAGAGTTGTAGGCTTCACCGGAGCATCCTTCTTCCAGGGTTCGTAGTCTCCCTGGTTCAGGTTGTGGACTTGCAGATGAGCGGCACTTTGAAGCTTCTTCCGTACCCCAGAAGGAGACACACGAGGGCATGTAATCCTTGGGGTCGGAAGGCTGCTCTAGTAGGAACATCACTTCTTCCTTGCTTTTCTTTTCTTCATCTTCATTTGTTGAATCCTTCAACTTGGCAGCCATGTCCGCGACCAGGAAGAGAAAGATCTGGCGCCACATTAGGACGTCGTCCTCTTGACACATGGCCATTTCTTCAGGGCTGTAGGAACTGATGCCCCATGGCTCCTCTCAAGATCGTACAGGTCGTGGGCCACCAGGATAATGTCGCAAAACGGATCGAGTGCGACAGTTGGGTCCTCCAATCACCGCCGCCAAATCCCCATCAAGCGCCAAACGAAGTAGGCCCCTGTAGGCCTTCGAATCCAGGGACGCCATGTCATGATCTTCACCCCGTTGCAAATCCACCTCCAAGGTACGGCTTCCCAAGCCATGCTCTTCCATAGAGTGAATCCTTCGCGTTTTCCCGCGTACAAATGCAGGATCACCGAGCCAGCTGCCTTCAGCCGCTTTCGTTGATGCCGGTTGGCAGGAAGATCCTTCCACTCCCCCGGTTGTTGGACCAAGGCTTTCTTGACATGGTCCGGAAGTTCTGCCAAAGCTGGATGGCCTTCAACCAAAGACTTCATCCACTCCACCTCCCTTTCAGGGTGCGTTTCACCCACCAGGTGAGCTTGCTTAACTTCTTGTGTGCGATCTTCATACTCTTGGATGAGCTCGAGGGCAAGCTGCTTGGGGATTTGTGGACACCCCGCTTGGATGCTGATAGGCAGAGATCCTTTTGTAGGATGGGAGACTTTCATGCCATGCTTTTTCCAAGAGATCTTGCATCCTCCACCGGCCAGCATTCCAAGGGGCACTATCGGTTCCACTTGTAGATTTGTTGACACCATCACCCCCGATTCAGTCATCAAAAGAGGTGTTGTTCGGCCATCAGCCAGGGACACAGAGATCTTCTTGAACTTCTCGAGGCAGTCCGTAGATGCAAGAGGCCTCAGGGGATGCGTAGCACCAGAATCCAAGAGTCCCCATTCTTCTTCTTGGGAAGACCCCATCTTCGCTTCGCGAACCGGGTCAACATCAAGGTTTTGATACTTTTCTTGATCTCATCAAGCTGCTGACGCAATCGGCTCAGCTTAGCTTCCGAAGCTTCTTTGTCCTTCATCGCCTTGAGCATCTTGTTGGCTTCAGCGAGAAGTTCATCCATCTTTTCATCATCTTGACCTCCACTTCCTTTTCCTCCTTCCTCGCCTTTAGGATCCTTCTCTTCTTCTTTTTCTTTCTTGACCTTCGGTGGCGAGTTGGGAGCAGCTCCACCTGACGTTTCCTTCGTAGGGCAGGTAGGGGCTAGGTGCTTCGTGGAGCCACGCAAGTAACACCTTTTGTGTTCATCCTTTTGGTCACGCGACCATTTGCAATCACGGCCACGACGACATCCGGCCTCGCTGAGGAAGAACTTGCACGGCGGCTTGACTTCCATCTCCTTCAACTTTCCTTCACTTCCCTTGGTCTTCTTTTTGACCTCCTCAATCTCCTTCACTTTGTTTTCTTCCTTTTTCGTAGTTGCGCCGCTTCGTTTCTCAGCCAAGGAGAGCTGTTCGATCTCGGCAATGAGATGGGTTGCAAACTGGCTGACCGAAAGCGCATTGGGGTTGGTGTCGACCTGAAGAGCATTCCGGGCCAAAGGCACCCGGAACCGCAGGCTTTCATTGCCATCCAAGACTCGCTTCGTCAAGCGATTCAGACCCTTGACCAGAATGGACGGGTCAGGTTCGGTGGCCCCAATCTCCTGAGCCCTTGCACGCCAACGAAGCCATCGACGGAGGCCAACCACAGTGTCGTGCAGATTTCCTGGTTCCGTTGGATCTTCAAGGTTCCGCAGGAGCATCTGTTTTTCGCTGATACCACCAGGGCAGTAGGTGACATGAAGATGGGCGAGGATGGCGAAGACTGACAACCTTCTTGTAGCCACCAGTTCATCTTTCTGAACTTCTGGAATTGCCTTCAGCAACAGGGTGGCCATTCGCCGTTCCAGCTTCGCCCACTTTGGAACACTAAGTGATGATGGAGGCACAGGTTCATGCTTGACCCGATCCAAGGGAGCCATTACCTGGTGGTCTTGGTACCACTTCTCAACCTCAGTCATCATTCGACCCCACCAAATGTCAGAGGTGGTCGTCAGGTCAGCCACCACCGGCTGAACAAGAAGCAGCCAATCACCCAGCTGCAACTGCGAGGTGGAACCATGTAGAGGATGTAGAACAGGTAGTTCAGCAACCTGACGGACAATCTCCACCCCCTTCACCGTTCCTTGAGCTTCTTGTCCCTCCGAAATCTGTCGTTGGAGAGACTTCATACTTTCCACCAAAAGTGTCATCACTTCCATCTGTTGAACTTCAGGGGATAGTTTGGCTCCCCCGGTTGTAGGTCTAGGCCCCTTCATCTCCCCTGTCCCGTAGGATGGACTTCGACCCTTCCTCTGTTGTTCTTTTGAGCGGGGCCTGGAACCCTTGACCCCATAGCGAGCCGGGTAAGTAGACCACGGTGTGCGTCCTCGGGCATGTAGGTCATCAATCCCCGGAATCCCGTTCGGTCCCTCTTCATCAGGGGTGTTGAAGTTGGAGGCACTTCTTGGTCTTTCCATTTCTTCTCCTTCCTTCTTCTTCTTTTCTTCAACCTCCAACCTCTTCCGGTCTTCCCCTTCAATCCTCCATTCATAGAGCTCCTGCTGAAGGCGATCATTTTCACGTTGTTGGGCATGGCATAGATCAGTGGGCCGTTGCACATCCTGAGAGACCTGCCAGCGCCACATGATTTCCTCTTCTTGTTCTTCTCGCTCCTTAGCTCGACGGGTCCTTCGGGGATCATTGGAGCTCTCTTCACATCTTCTCAGCTCTTTCTTCCTCTTCCATCTCCACCACCCTTCTATACCCTTCTTTCTTACCTCCTCTCTTTCCTTCCCTTTTTTCTTCTTCTTCTTCCAGAAAGGCCGGGCGAGACACCTGAGCAGGCCGATCATCACCTGAAGAGGACGGCATCAGACCTGGGCCGAAGAGTTGTGGAGCACTTCGAGCAGATGCCTTAGCTTCACGGATCTGCTCCTGGGTGAACAAGGGCTGCATGGTTTGAGGTGTCGGTGGAGCCAACGGAGCCAAGGTCGTGGGCTTTCCTTTTGGGGCTTGAACCACACTCTCTTTCGAGCCACCGCTCTTGAACACCTCCATTTCAGTCTTCCCTGTTCCTGTATTCCCCAGCCCTGTTGTCGATCGAGCCGGGGTGCTGAATTCCTTTTTGGCTTCTTCTTCTCCTACACCAGCTTCGAGCTCTTCCGTCGGTTGCTTCACCTCCAGGTCTTCGCGGACATCAGCAGGAGGTGGCAAAGCGAGCGGCCCATCGTCACGGTCCATGATTCGACGGCGCCGGAGCATAGACGGGTGTGGATTAGAAGAACTTTCCAACGTTGGGCTCATAACCTGTTGGTGGTTGGGCATGTTCCTCACCCCGTTTCAACCCTCTCAAAACGAACAAGAAACAAGTGCAAGCTGAACACCCTTCTTTTCCAGTGACCTCGTGGTCTTGTCGTGGGTTTCTCGACCCTTCAAGCTTCTCTGAGCTTGGCTTCATGAAAAAGGGCTGCAGAATGCAGCAAGTAAAAGGCGTGTCGTCCTTGTGCAGGGGTCATGCATCAACAGTAACAAGTGCCTTACTAGTAGTAACAAGGACGCTACTAGTAACAAGTGCCTTACTAGTAGTAACTTTAGGGAAACGAGAAGATCAAGCCTAGTATCCCTGTGCTCATCACCCTTTCTAATAGTTGCTAGCAAACATGTTTTGCACTGATGTTAAGCTGCCGCACAGCACTTTAAACACACAAAGCTCTTTTGGCGTCCTTCTCGCTGAGCTCTTTGGCCGCTTGGATCTGCTTTCCGATGCGAACCCACGGAGGATCCAATCCCAAGAGCTCACAGACGTCCACACTGAGCCTCCTCTTCGCAAAGGTGGTGGGAACCAAGCTGCCGAAGGGAAACGCTGTCTTCCTGAGGGGGGGTAGGCCGCGGAGGTCGCTAGGTAGCGTTAGAACGCTTACTAAAGCTACCCTAGAGGCAGCGGGGGAAGCTTCCTTGAAGAAGCGCTTGCACTATTCATTTGGTTCTTAGATTTAAGGAACACTTACATATTATATACATGTATGTATGTATGCATGCATGCATGGATGGATGGATGGGAGGGAGGATGGATGCATGTAGTTTTTTACAATCGACTTCAATGCATTATGCAAAGTACAAGGCGCAAACTGTAAACCCAGTTCCATGTGCTGAGACATCCTGTATTCTTCCGCAAAAAAGGGGCATGAGTGGGACCATATGGACAAATATGTTGCTGTGCAATAAAACAAAACCACCAAGCTTCACAAAGCTGTGGAAGACTCCAGGACCCCAAACGTCCAAATTGAAGGTCCAATCTGGAGCTTGACTTGAGCCACGGATGGCAATCACACGCGTTTTCACGTTGGACATGCTGAAAACGCCAACGCGACCAACTTCTCCTGTATCCTGGATGGAATCTATAGTCACTGGATAGAGCTCAGTGTTCAACGTGGCGTTGTCCAGTTCTTCTTGAATATCTTTTCGAGGCCCGAAATACACTGCTTGTGCAAAAACCAGGAGATCAAGAGCTGTGAGCTGGGAGCCCTTTGTAGGTTTTAGGCTGTCCCACTGCATGTTGTTGCAAATTGGGTATGCTCCAAAGCCTGCAAGCACGCCCGGTGCTTGGTGATTGACATCAAAGTGGGATGCGTTGGGCGCTGGAGAAAAACTGCTCTTTTCAAGAAGGAAGTTGGGATCATCTGGAAGAGAACCAGCCACCACCACAAGCATTGCTGTCATGATGTAGACGATCACGGAGCAGAAAAAGCAGGAACAACAGGGACACGGCCCAACTCCATTCACAAGCTTGGGGAAGATCTTCGCAAGACCAAACGCTGCAGCAAGTATGCCGAAAACCGTGGAAACAATCAGGAGACGGTGATAGGAGAACTGCCACACCACGATGCCAGAGATGATCTGCAAAATCAGCATCGCCAAAACGGCAGAACCTCCCAGTCCGACATTCACCTGACTCTTTGGCAGACTTTGGGTTTTACAAAACAAACAACACAATGGCATCGAAACCCAAAGAGCAAGGAAGTAAAAAAGAAAGGTCCCAACTAAAGGGCTAGAAGAAAGAACCTAAACATGAATAGAAAAACGTGACAACATCAAAGCAAAGAACAGGATAGAAATGCGTGTACACGACTTGAGCCAGCCAAGCAAAACTAATTTGAACTTCTGGACCCAAATGGCAAATTGCAGCAGCAGTTGTTTTCCTATACCATGCGGCTGATGAAATTACTCTTTCCACATCCTTGCCATTTTTGTGCAATCTTTTTTTTGCTTGTAACTTCATACCGTTCTCTTTTCACTCCTTTCTTTCGTTATGTCTTGTCTAATAGAACTTTGCCTATCCTACGTTTGGCTGGGCCAGTGGCCTTGTAATCCACCTCTTCTGGGTCTTTTTCGTCCAGCAAGCGTTCATAGCCAGACGCTTGACGTAGGTTCACCACCAGCAATGCGAGGAGGTGTGCGTAGGCAAAACCGGTGGTGATGATCAGGCTGCCTTCCAACAAACCCACAAGCAAACCCAAATTCACACCATCTGCCTGCAATCTCAGGCCAAACACGAAGGCTGACGCAAGCCCGATGACGAAAGCTCCAACCAAAGCTTTCTCCACAGCC